CCCCCGCCCTCCCCGCTGTCAGCGCGGCGATAAGAAGCGTGGGTCGCTTATCATCGTCTCACACCATCCCTGGCCCGCGACGTAGGACCGAACACGCTAATCTAATTTTAAACATTCACTCATCGGCACGATCTTCCACGATGTGCACGTACGACAGACGATTGGCTCGTGACAAATCGCCAAAGGGCGAAGCACCTGTCGCGAATGAGAACCCGGAATTGCGCTGCAATTCGACGTTTTCGCGAGAGTCACGCGTCAACGTGAAGAGGTTAGAAAGCTCTCAGCTTACAATTAACCTTAATCTACTTTGCCCCTAATTTGCTTCCTGTTTCTTGTTTTCTGTCTTTTTTTAGTTGAAGGCTTAAGGTGTGAATCAGAAAGAGATAAAGAAAAAGAAACTAGACGCAAATAATACATTGTAAATCAAGCTTTAAGTCTGATCTACAATGTGCTCTTTGCTTCCTGTTTCTTGTTCTCTGTCTTTTTTTAGTTGAAGGCTTAAGGTGTGAATCAGAAAGAGATAAAGAAAAAGAAACTAGACGCAAATAACACATTGTAAATCAAGCTTTAAGTCTGATCTACAATGTGCTCTTTGCTTCCTGTTTCTTGTTCTCTGTCTTTTTTTAGTTGAAGGCTTAAGGTGTGAATCAGAAAGAGATAAAGAAAAAGAAACTAGACGCAAATAACACATTGTAAATCAAGCTTTAAGTCTGATCTACAATGTGCTCTTTGCTTCCTGTTTCTTGTTCTCTGTCTTTTTTTAGTTGAAGGCTTAAGGTGTGAATCAGAAAGAGATAAAGAAAAAGAAACTAGACGCAAATAACACATTGTAAATCAAGCTTTAAGTCTGATCTACAATGTGCTCTTTGCTTCCTGTTTCTTGTTCTCTGTCTTTTTTTAGTTGAAGGCTTAAGGTGTGAATCAGAAAGAGATAAAGAAAAAGAAACTAGACGCAAATAACACATTGTAAATCAAGCTTTAAGTCTGATCTACAATGTGCTCTTTGCTTCCTGTTTCTTGTTCTCTGTCTTTTTTTAGTTGAAGGCTTAAGGTGTGAATCAGAAAGAGATAAAGAAAAAGAAACTAGACGCAAATAACACATTGTAAATCAAGCTTTAAGTCTGATCTACAATGTGCTCTTTGCTTCCTGTTTCTTGTTCTCTGTCTTTTTTTAGTTGAAGGCTTAAGGTGTGAGTCAGAAAGAGATAAAGAAAAAGAGACAAGAGGCAAATAACACATTGTAGATCAAACTTTAAGCCTGATCTACAATGTGCTCTTTGCTTCCTGCTTCTTTCTCTTTATCTTTTTCTGACTTTCAGTCAGAAAAAGATAGAAGACATTTTTCTGAGTCAAAGTTTTCTGACTTAAGTTTTAAGTCAGAAAAAGATAGAAGACAAGAAACAGAACGCAAAGAGCATATTGTAGATCAAGCTTTAAACACACTGAAAACAAAATGGCACTGGCAATTGGCACTGGCAATTGGCACTTGTAACTATAATCACACAGAGGAATAATCATTATAAATTATGGTCCAAGAAAAACATTTTCTATTAAATTCTGTAATAATGTTAGCGATAATAACTTTACACGCACATTATCGCTACTGTTTTACTGCAATAGATATGGTTGGACTAAAAAATAACTACAACTTTAGTTGGATCGATCATTGGTTTTTTCTCTCAATGCACAGTCTTCGCGCTGCGAGATAGTTCACTGAATTCAAATATGCAATTTCGAGTCGATCGTGAAATTTCGAGATTTCAACTCGAGATACACATCTGCCACGACCAACGTCCAACATTACGATCTACGATTTGCCGGTAAAATTTGACATACACTGAGAGAAGGATTTAGTAAATATTACTAAAATTTGATTATTATTACTAAATGGTAGACGAAATATAGCGGGCCAAAGCTATGGCAATATTTATTAATTAATTTAGTGTAAAATAAATTATTTATTTGACAGAAGTAAAATTTATTTGCTTCCAGAATATATTTGGTAAATAAAACTTATTGAATAGTTGAGCAAAATAAGCGATTTTGTAATAGTTACAAAATTTTTGGTAGGTTCAACCAACCATCTGTAGTAATAGATATTGAAACGATGTAATAACTGCAAATGAATGAATTTTTCGTTGTGCCTGCAACAAAACATACTTATACTAGTAACAAAATAGAATTCGTACTGAATCTTTTATTATATGGGATATAACAATTTCATAACAATTATCAAATATCTGTTCATAACTGTAATATATTTCATATTAAATATTTAACATTAAGTAACTATTACTAAATTATTTAATTGATGTTACTGTGAATGCAATTACGTCATACTCCCGATCTATTAAATATTTAGTAATTATTATAATATTTAGTATTAGATACTAAGGATTCAACGAATTTCTATAACTAAATGCAGTTTGTTATAATTACCAGTCTTTTCTCTCAGTGCACCCTTTAGAATTCAGTCGTGTTTCCTTCACCGACCTATTTCAATTTATCGAGAAAATCGAGAAACACAACGGCGAGACAGTCCCATCCGGAGATCGCGACGGTCTGACTGAACAATGAAAATTATTCATCATTAATAATATTCCTGTATCAATGAAACATCCGCTAAATTAACGAAATACGACACGACGCCGCGGGTATAACGCGTACGCATTTTAATGGCACGTCCCGAAAGTTTTTGCTTTCGGGAGAGCTCTACACGAGGGAGAAGATGGATCAGCCACCCTTCTCCTTCACCCTCATGCTGCCTACAGGTGGTAGCTGAGGAGAGGAGTGTGCCCGGGTGGCGCGCGGCGGGTGGAGGCGGATTCCGCGTCGGGTATAATAGAGGGTGCAGCAGCCCTTCTCCGCTCACTCTTTCACCACGTGTCGACTCGTCGACGATACAGACGGCCGCCGATAACGCACGATAACGCCTAGTTCCACCAGAGAGTAAGTTACAACGCGCGTCAGCAGCCCGGGTCGTCCTGAATCCGTATGTTCGAGAAGTACGGATTACACGTGTCAACAATTTCCCCTTGAAGCTTCGCGTAATTAATTTGTCTTTCTTCTTCGCGGCACTTTCAACTCGCGTAACTTGCATCCTCGAAGAATGCGGATTCAGGGAGAACTCTGAAAGTCCCCTCTCGATCGTGCACATCGTCTGACGGATCTCTGATCCGATGGAAGCGACGGAAATTAGAATAGGAACCATCAATTGTTTCTGCTGTCGAGAAATGAAACTCTCGCCATTATTCTTCATGGAATATCACAATGGATTATTATATTCGTTAGGAGTTTTCTCATCTCGAAGATGGAACTTGTCGATCGGTCAGATAATACATAAATTCTCGGCCGACCTCCAATTGTGTCTAGATGACATAATACTAACTAGATATCATACGCATACGCGATATCTCTCGCGTATCTCTCACTACTTTCGTATTGCATCCCCAATGCTAAACGGTGCGCGCTTCAAACGGCCGCGAGCTTCTGCGTCGAACGCGCAGCAAATCCGCGAATTGATTTCTAATCGTTTTGTTTGCGACACACGCTCTCGCGGTGTGCGTCGTCATCGTCGTCGTTATCATCTTCGGCGTAGTCATTGAAAATTGTGGCGAAATCGATTTAGAATCTATAAATTATCGTTAAACGCGACCTACCGCTCGCATATGCGCGGAGATCGAGCCAGCTCCGTCGCGCGAGACACGTTCTTCTCATTATACACTGAGAAAAATTGAAAATTTATTTGATATGAAGTTAATTTATAGAAATAAATACTTTATTTCACAGCAATAAATCTTATTTTGCAGAAATAAACCTTACGTATCTCACACAGAAAAACTTTCAAGTATTTTTTTCTCTTTCAGTGTATATACATTACCACTTCTTTTATAATTATTCTATATTTTATAATAATATATATATATATATATATATATATAACATTTATAGTTAGTATTGTTTAGTTTATAATATCAGCGCATTTATAGTTTTATTATGTCATTATTATATTCTTGTATTATTAATGCCTCATTCTTGTATTATTGTTATTGTACACGGTATTTTGACCCGCGCCGTCCGATAGCCGCAACAGCAAAACAGTCATTCTCCACTTGGCACGGAATCGAAATTCCCAAATTGCGTCGCGTCAGTTATTTGCAGATACGCCGTTCGCACATCTCCATTTCTTGTTTGTTTTTAATTATCATTATTATTATTAACGCATATTACGTACGTGACGTTCGCACGCATCCGACAATTTTGTTCTCGATAATTCACTCGTCGTCCCGCGTTACGATTCCGCTGGTTATCACGTGACGGACACCGTCCACCGCATCCGATACGGCTCTATCATCGGTGAAAGGATAATCCGCGATGACCCTTGACGCGCGGCGAACTGGCTTCGACCATGCTGGCTCGCCCGTTTGTCCCGATTCGGTCTCGGCTCGATCTCGACGGGCTAACAAAGTCGGATCCAAACGCGGATCTGGTGCGAGCGCGGCCCGAAGGTCCTGTTTTCAGAGTAATCGCGGGGATGACGCGCGTGCTCTTATCACGCACCACGGCGAGAAACCACGCACGAGAGGTCGCAACGCAATATTATCTGCACGACAATGTTTCTCCTATCTTTTTCTCCTTTTTCTCCCGATTGATCTCGCCGTATGCAACGCGCGAATCAACTCACGACACGTCGTTCGCGCGCGCCCTTCGTCCCTGCGCCCTTCTGGCTCGATTGTTCTCACCCTGAGGCGCCTCTTCTGCTACACTATTCCACTACTTTGCCATCGATGTATTATCACGGTATCCGACCGGTGATTAATTTAAAAAAAGCAGGGAATGTTTTGATTATTTCCACGTACGTTTGGCTTACACGATTTTATCTTGTGATTATTGCAGAGTGCAAGAGGTACGACGGGAATGACGGAGAGAGCGAACTCCGCAAGGACGAGCTTGCGTCTGTTGGCACTGGTCTGGTTGTCCTGCGCCATCAGCTGTGAGGTCTTCGCTGCCGCTCTACCGGTACCCTTGGCGTCGGACTTCACGTACGGGGATCTCGTCGCCGCGGACCCGGAAAGTCTCGTGAGTACATATCTCGTGTCTCATTCCCTAGCCAGCAACTTTTCCTTGAGAGAGCGGAAACGTGAGAAGCGTGAAGTGGCTCGTGAACTCGAAGACTTCAATATGTATCTTCTTGAACAATGGATTAATGTGAAACTTTCGACGTGAAACTTTCTACTTTTCATGTCTGCGTTCCTACACTGAGAGAAGGATTTAGTAAATGTTACTAAAATTTGGTTACTATTACTAAATGGTAGACGTAAATATAGCGGGCCAAAGCTATGGCAATACTTATTAATTAATTTAGTTCTGTAAAATAAATTATTTATTTGACAGAAGTAAAATTTATTTGCTTCCAGAATATATTTGGTAAATAAAACTTATTGAATAGTTGAGCAAAATAAGCGATTTTGTAATAGTTACAAAATTTTTGGTAGGTTCAACCAAACATCTGTAATAATAGATATTGAAACGATGTAATAACTGCAAATGAATGAATTTTTCGTTGTGCTGCAACAAAACATACTTATACTAGTAACAAAATAGAATTCGTACCTACTGAATCTTTTATTATATGGGATATAACAATTTCATAACAATTATCAGATATCTGTTCATAACTGTAATATATTTCATATTAAATATTTAACATTAAGTAACTATTACTAAATTATTTAATTGATGTTACTGTGAATGCAATTACGCCATACTCCCGATTTATTAAATATTTGGTAATTATTATAATATTTAGTATTAGATACTAAGGATTCAACAAATTTCTATAACTAAATGCAGTTTGTTATAATTACCAGTCTTTTCTCTCAGTGTAAGGAAAAAAATCACATGGTTGCCGCACAGTGGGAAAAAATTTCATGTTTCAAAGTTTAGAACTTTGAACAGATTTCGAAGTTTTTTTTTTAATAAAAGCTAATGAAATTTGAAACAACTTTGTGTCGAGTCAAATTATTGCTTTTTGCTTCCCTTCTTTCTAAATCATAAAGAAGTTAAATCTAAAAATTTTTTTTATCAAACAATTCTGACATACTCGAAAAGAGAAACTGAAAACTTATTATGTCAAGAAATAATAATTAATAAAAAAAATCAATAGTTAATAAAACTTTTTATTTACTAAATTTAGATACTATTTCAATGAATCTTGTTTATTAAGATAAGATTTAGTGAGACTATATCAAGGATTCTATATAATTTTTCTCAAGCACACTGAGTGAAATGTCTGATAATACTAACCAGAATTTTATTTAGGTTTACCAAACGTATGGTGAATAATCGTGTAACAAGATATTTAGTCAATGATACCAAACTATCTGGTGAGCGCATTGTCTGAGTAGCATTACAATAATGCTTAAATACGTTTACCAAACCGTCTAGTACAATTCATTTGGTGAATGTTATGAATACAGTTGTGGACTAGTGTTAGACTTCTTACCTAACCTAAAATCTAACCAAATTATATATAATTTTCATATACTTACTGTATATAATCTTCATATATTTACTTCTAAATTCGTCGACATATTTTAAGAAATTTCATTTTTCCGTCAATATTTGACGGTCAATATTTCAGCGTTTACTCTTTTATAGCACCGACGTCTTTACAAATTAGTATAGATGAAAAAGGAAACGTCGCAGCGAGTAACAATTAACTATCGTGTCAATAGTATCACACGTCTAGAGAGAGTTATCAAACTGTCTAGATGTCTACAACTAAATGTCTCGGTATTGACTACCAGATGCGTCGAGGTATCGTAATCAGAATATTGGATACGTGAACCAGATATCGCTAAATTCACTATATTACTAAGAGAAAGAAAATAAGAACTCAATAACAATGATACCAATTAAATATGCTTTGGTGCTCGTTATATTTGGTGCATACTGATTTGTTGCATCTAACATATACTTCTTTGAACTTCATATTTTTACTTCTAGGGCATTTATTACATCTTACTCTGGATGGCAAAATAATTTTAGATCTTTCAGTTTCTTCAACTTTTAAAATAGCTTATAAATATATTGAGTTGTAAGACGTCTCTTAAATTCAGGTTCTACTAACTGAAAGGCAAGAGCTTTTACTCTTTTGCGTGAAGAATGAGTTATATTGAGCTGAAGATTAAGAAATTTATATAGAGAAAGAAATAAGAACTCACAAACGAAGATATTAATCAAAAAATAGGAAAAAAGGCTAATTCGAATTCAAGCACAGGATTAATAGTGCTATGTACCATATGGGTAAAACCTTCCTTATGTTAGGAAATAGAGCAATATTTATTGAACATGAATACTCAATATAAATAATCAAACGTTTCGGCTCAATCATATAAAATCTTCAGTGATATAAAAACTCAAGGTTTACAAAACGAATGCATTACAGGTAAAAGAATTAATTAAAGACCTTAATAAAATGACATGAATGTTATTCGCAGTATTATAGCTGATAAGACCGTTACCCGACTAATATTAAGAAGTTCAAATTAATATTAGGAAGTAGCCGTCATAACTATAAAAAAACCATAAAATAATTTGCATGAGGAACGTTATTACTTGAAACGCCTGATATCGGAAATGATTTACATTAAATTTCAAAAGCATGGACTTAACTCTCAAAAGGACACAGAATATTTGGGCAACGGCTACTGCGGCTTGTTATGAAAATAAAACTCTGTTTCCTTCTCTTCCATGAGTCGTCGCCGCAATGTTAGTGCTCGTGTATATAAATCTGTTATTATCTCTATTACTTAGACGTGGCGATGTTATCGTTGACAGGATCATTTCACTTTTAGCCGAGCTCAACAAAGGTAATTTATATTGACAGTTTTAACTATTTATTATATTTTAATCTTACCTAATTTTATTTCATTTTATGGTTTTTTTTATAGTTATGACGGCTGCTTCCTAGTATTAATTTGAACTTCTTAATATTAGTCGGGTAACGGTCTTGTCAGCTATAATACTGCGAATAACATTCATGTCATTTTATTAAGGTCTTTAATTAATTCTTTTACCTGTAATGCGTTCGTTTTGTAAACCTTGAGTTTTTATATCACTGAAGAGGGTTCATGATTGAGCCGAAACGTTTGATTATTTATATTCATGTTCAATAAATATTGCTCTATTTCCTAACACAAGGAAGGTTTTACCCATATAGCACTATTAATCCTGTGAACTCGAACCTTTTTCCTATTATTTAATTGATATCATTATATTACTTTCATAAGACGAGTATAGTGTCATTCACCAAGCCATTTCTCTCAGTGTATAATCAGGTATGAGTATTTCTAATTTTAATTCAACATCTGTGCCTAATGTTAAATTAAATGAAATATGAAATATATAGAAATATATTAGATGAAATATGAAATGAGTTATCTACTGTTTGATTGGAAAATATTTCTAAATCGAACTTTTTTATGTCTTATTTAAAAAAGAAGCAGAAAACAAAGATTTGACACGGCAAAGTTGTTCCAAATTTCATTAGATTTCATAAAAAAGAAAAGTATCGAAATCAGTTCAAATTTCGGAGCTGTAACCTTTTTTGAAACATGAAGTTTCATTTCATTTCACGCCCATGAAAGAAAGAGCCTCCTCTGTCCGTCCCTTACGGCTCACTCGACACATCCTCGCAGATGTTGCTGAACCGTCTGAAGCAAGTGACGGAACAGAAGCATCGATTAGTCGAGCAGGAGCACGAGATCACCGACGAGCAGATCAATCTCGAGGCGGTACTGCAGGCGAAAGCGATGGAACAACAGCGCAATCAACCGGACTACACGGCGGAGGAACCCGAGTCGGAACCAGAAGCCGAGCCGGAAGCGTTGCCAGTGCCCGCGGCGATGGTCCACCGCGGTCAGCAACAGCCGCCGACATCCGGCAAGCGGAAGCCAAGCACTTGTAAGTACACGTTTCGTCGTTACGTCTTCCCCGAGGAGGAACATCCTCCCAACAGGGAGAATCGCCGTCGACGAAAAGTTCCGCGCGAGAAAGAGAGATTCGTCCGCGTCATCAGTTGTTGAAAATATTTGTCGATTAATTCCATAATAGAGAGTTTTTATAATACAAGAACGCTTTAGATACGGTGAACGCTAAAGTCACGTTATTGGGTCGAAAGACAAAAATGCGCATGCGCATCGTTCACCGTAACGTTGACCAAATAACATGCGACGTTATTTTTAAAAGAATAAGATTCACGATTGACGTCGACGTTATGAGGCAGTTTTTGTGATGTGTCTCTCAGATCCCGATGAAAAATTTTTCATGCAAAATTTTGTATGAAATTTGTCCATACATAATTATGTATAATTATATATAATCATATAAAATTATATATAATTATACACAATTATATATAACAATATGTATAATTACATATAAATTTATGCGTAATTATGTAAAATTATATATGAATTTATATATATAATTATATATAATTATATATATAAGTAGAATGTATGAACATAAATGGACAAATTTGATACATAATAATATATAATTATATATAATTTTATATAATTTTATATAATTATATATAAAAAATTTTTCATTGGGATACGATAACGCTAAAGTACGTTCCAATATTCAGTGTCAATATTTCAAATCTATAGAATATGTAACACAAACTGTATATTCGCAGTACTGGCAGTGAATATCGAAACGTACTTTAGCGTTCACCGTACCTAAAACGCTATTGCAAAAATTCTCTATTTAATGGAATTAATCCCGTAAGTTAGGAGTTTATTAATTAACAATAAACTTGCGATAGATTTACGAATACGTAAACTTATAAAATACTTGCGCAACAAGTAACATTTACTTGAATGCAATTTTATTTCTCTGTGTGCGCAACTCACACCACTTTTCGATGACTCTACTTGGATACCTTTGTATGTTTCACACGTATGAAAGACTAACTAGAGAGATCGTTTCTCTGATCTGAATTTCGATCTGAATACGCGTTTGCCAGACATTACTTTAGATCTTGACCCTTCCTCTACATCATTTTACGGAAAACACAGAGCTCTGAGAGTGTTCTTTCCCCGAGAGTGGCGGACGAATTCACGTTGAGATCAGACACGTGCAAACAATTCCTACATGTCGGCTATCGAGAGATTTCAGGGGAAATCCGGAAGAGAACGGAGCTTCTCTCGGCTTACGGATAGCTCATGAATAATACTCTTAGAATAATCTTCTGCATTGATGCTCGCTGCCCGGTGCACTTGCTCTCGATGATCGAATTTCCACGCGATATTCAACGGAATGTTTTCTCGCTGTTGCGCATTAAGATATGAAAGGAAGCAGACAAGAGAAAGGAAGCAGATAACGGAGAGCGCTGAGGCTACAATGAAGTTCATTCGCGCATTGAGAAGAAAGCGTGAAAAATGAGAGAAGACTCGCGGACGCCTCGCATCTCTTTGTACGTCCACTTTCGATTGACAACGTCAATTATGCTTCAACTGCTGTACTTTTTGCGAAGGAGCAGAGAGAATTTCGGTGTCGCGAAGTCTCCTCTTCGCGATCGCGAGAGCGCCCGTCGACTCGGCATTAACCTTTAAGCTGCCGGCATTTTTCAAAAAGTGATTTTTTTCCTAAAAAATTTTTCTATATGAGTAACATATATATGGCGTAGAATTTTGAGATTTGTGCAGAGCCACAAAAGTGGCTTTCCCGACAGGGAATGCACGATCAAATATAAAAAATTTTTATTTTCTTAAAAATAGTGTATTTGGGGGTTTTTAGTATCGCTGATTCCAATTTTGAGCATAGATTTATGAAATTTCAAGCCCTAAGCGCAATATTGACAACATAAATAAATATAAACATATAGATTCGTGCCGAGTCTTTTTGTTTGGTTTTTTAATGTTTAATTTCGGTATTTTTTTTACTTTTTTGCTTGTTTTATAATTTTTTATTTTTTATATTTTTAAATTTTTTATATTTTTCAACACATTTATATTTTTTTATATATTTTATGATTTTTTTTATGTTGACTTTTTTCCGCAATTATGATAAAATTTCTTTCAATATAATGATAATTTTCAAAGCAGGGTATTACGCATAATGGAGCATTACAATTAGTGCATATGTTTCGGCAACGTAAGTGCACACTGAGAAAAGAATTTAGTAAGTATTATCAAAATTTGGTTACTATTACTAAATGGTAGACGTAAATATAGCGGGCCAAAGCTATGGCAATACTTAATAATTAATTTAGTTCTGTAAAATAAATTATTTATTTGACAGAAGTAAAATTTATTTGCTTCCAGAATATATTTGGTAAATAAAACTTATTGAATACTTGAGCAAAATAAGCGATTTTGTAATAGTTACAAAATTTTTGGTAGGTTCAACCAACGATCTGTAATAATAGATATTGAAACGATGTAATTCTAAACGATGTAAGCGATGTAAGAATGAATGAATTTTTCGTTGTGCTGCAATAAAACATACTTATACTGGTAACAAAATAGAACTCGTACCTACTGAATTTTTTATTACATGGAATATAATATAAATTTCATAACATATTTAGAGAAAGAACTAAGAACTCGCAAACGAAGATATAAATCAAAAAGTAGGAAAAAGGCAATCCGAGTTCAAGCACAGGACTAATAGTGCTATATACCATATGGGTAAAAACCTTTCTTGTGTTAGGAAATCGTGTAATATTTATTGAACATGAATAATGAATATAAAACAATCATACGTTTCGGCTCAACCATAAACCCTCTTCAGTGATAATAAAATTCAAGATTTACAACACGAACGCATTACAATTAGTAAAAGACCAGGGCAAATTGACATGAATGTTAGTCGTAATATTAAAGTCGACAAGATCGTTACCGAAATAATATTAAGTAATAAATTAATATTAAGAAGTAGCCGTCATAACTATAAAAAACATATAAAATAAAATAAAGTAAGTAAAATTGAAATATAATAAATAATTACAACTGAACAATATAAAATACCTTTGTTGAGTTCAGCTAAAAGTAAACCGATCCTGTCAACGATAACATCGCCACTTCTTCAAAATATAATTACAGATTTATATGCCTAGCATTAACATTGCGGAAACGACTTATGGAAGAGAAAGAAACCAAAACAAAGTTTATTTTCATAACAAGCCATATGGTATATAGCACTATTAGTCCTGTGTTTGAACTCGGATTGCCTTTTTCCTACTTTTTGATTTATAATTTCATAACAGTTATCAAATATCTGCTCATAACTGTAATATATTTCATATTAAATATTTAACATTAAGTAACTGTTACTAAATTATTTAATTGATGTTACTGTGAATGCAATTACGTCATACTCTAGATCTATTAAATATTTGGTAATTATTGTCATATTTAGTATTAGTTACTAAGGATTCAATGAATTTCTGTAACTAAATGCAGTTTGTTATAGTTACCAGTCTTTTCTCTCAGTGTAAGGAAAAAAGTCACATGGTTGCCGCACAGTGAGAAAAAATTTCATGTTTCAAAGTCTAGAACTTTGAACAGATTTCGAAATTTTTTTTAAAATAAAAGCTAATGAAATTTGAAACAACTTTGTGTCGAGTCAAATTTTTATTTTTTGCTTCCCTTCTTTCTAAATCATAAAGAAGTTAAATCTAAAAATTTTTTTTATCAAACAATTCTGACATATTCGAAAAGAGAAACTGAAAACTTATTATGTCAAGAAATAATAATTAATAAAAAAATCAATGGTTAATAAAACTTTTTATTTACTAAATTTAGATACTATTTCAATGAATCTTGTTTATTAAGATAAGATTTAGTGAGACTATATCAAGGGTTCTATATAATTTTTCTGAAGCACATTGAAGGAAATGTCTGATAATACTAACCAGAATTGGTTAATTGATGTTACTGTGAATGCAATTACGTCATACTCTCGATCTATTAAATATTTGGTAATTATTGTCATATTTAGTATTAGTTACTAAGGATTCAATGAATTTCTGTAACTAAATGCAGTTTGTTATAGTTACCAGTCTTTTCTCTCAGTGCAAACAAACGCGAAGCGAGCACCGGAGAGACACGCATTGCTTAGGTTACATACACACATATATGTTTAATATATTTAGTATTTAAAATACTAAAAATAGTAGTATTTTAACCCAAACTTAAAAGCCACAAAAGTGGCTTTCCCGGTAGTCTAAAGGTTAATACAGCCGATTGTGCACAGTATACGCGTATTGATCTGGAGTCGCGTTCGAAAGATCAAAGATGATCAAACGATTTATTGAAACAATTGCCGCGTGACGCACCACGCTCCTCTCGATTAATTCCTCGTACGATTCGCGGCCGAAAATGTTGAGTCGATCTTCGCCGTGGCGAAAATCGCCGGGGGAGCCGACGCTCTCTGATGATTCTCTTACACATCTAGAGAAAAGAAATGGTTCATCCGACTTGAAATTATAGTTACTCTCTATATCCCAACTATATCTCTTGACAAGTTGTTGTTCTAACAAGAAAATGGTAATATTAACATGCATATAAGGTTATTATCGCCGACATTGTAGCAGAGTTCAATAAAAAAATAGCTTTCTCCGCCATGATTTATAGTGATTATTACTCTGTATGATTATAGTCACAAATACTGAACACTCTCTTCTCAGTGTACGAGGGAAGAATTGGTGTGCGCGAATTGAATTGCCGAGCGGGCAGACAAATCATAGCGATGTCTCTTAGCCCCAAGTTCAGGTGAACTTTGCTTTCGCAGATTATTTCGAGCTTCAATCGCAAAGTATGATAGAGAAGGAATGGAAAATCACGACGAATCATTGAATTGACCCCTTCGTCGTTTTGGGCCTCGCTCGTCGCTCGTCGTCTTTCACACGTTTCGCTGCTTGACCTTTGTACTTGTCGCGGCTATCGGTATTGTTATGATTTTTATTACGGCCCCCTTGAACGTCCGAACGATAAGGGAAAATCGACAGCAAATCGTTCGGAGAAGCCGGCATTCAAATAAAAATAACGAACGCAGGATATCGTCTCATGTATATCGGCGTGTCAAACGTGGCACGTGATACACGGCGTGACACATAACGGTTTTAGTTCAAAAAGTGACCATCCAGCGATTACTCGGGGCACTTATGACGTTTGCCGCCAAAAAATCGGCACGCCACGAAAAATATTCGTCACCCGTGCAGAGCACTAGTACAAATAAAAACACCAAAAGCGACATACCACTTTGTGAGGTAATGTCTTTTAGAGGTTATGTCTTAATGTAAAGCTCAAAATATAAATGTAAATATATATATATATAT